GCACGTGCAACTTTGCAATTATCTTTTACGATGGAACTTGTGTGCTGTATTAGCAAATATGCAGTTTAGCGATTTAACCGAGAAATGGAGAATTATTTTTTCTTCCATAATAAAAATTTTCTTATTAATAATATTTATTTGTCATCTATGAATTAACTTGGACAATACTCAATTTACTTGGACAATATTTCGAAATATGATATATTTCGCAGTCCTCACTGATGTGATAACGAAAATACTAGTTCCGCAATTTCCGTCTTACTTACACTTGTTAGCAGCATTGATGTATTCGTAACTATTTACGAAAGCTGTGACAAGAGAGAAAATGAACCAACAAACTATGCGAAAATTCATGGTCGATCTTCGCTCTGCTATCATTCCTTTGAATAAAATTGTCTGTTTAACAGAATTTCCCGAAAAGAAATTTTCCAATTAACGCCACTGCACTCTCATGATTATTTCATATGATCACTGTTATCGCACAAAGAACAGTAATATGATATAGTTATCATTGAGTTATATTAAAGGATATTTTCTCGTTACTTAAAAACCGAATTAAGTCGAGATATAATTTGTTATCCAAAAAGTATCAATTTTTCAATAACGTGTATAATTTTTTCGCAAAACGAATAGGATAACAATGTATCCTTTTGCGTTTGGAGCGTTTCTGCTAAAATGTTGTCGAAATATGTATGCCAAAATATAGATGCCTAGGTAGAACCGCACACTTTCGCTTTCCGTCCTTGAGACTTTTTGCAAGGAATGCCTTTTTGTAGAACCGTCTAGATCGCTTATATCACTGAATCCACATATAATTCGCAACTGATTATAATGAAAAACGAGAGTTAGCTTCTCTCCAACTTGAAATTGTTCACGTCTAACAATCAATTTTGAAATATGTTTTTGCTCCGGTAAATTCTCAAGTATCGTCGATCTCTTGAATAGTTGAATCACTCCGGAAATTTTCAGATTAAAAATGCTTAAATTTCACAAAGGGATGCCCATTTCTCCTGTTACTCCGATCTTGAAAAATGCTGAAACGTTCGATCTTTCAACTCTTCCATCGCGTGCTTCTACACTGAGATTCCTTTTCGTTCTTCTTGTTTATCTACGGCGTTCCGTAGGCAGACGAACGCGAGAGACGCGTGTTCTGCTGAGAATATGCCCGTGAGAAGACCGCGAGAACTCGCGGTTGAAAATATCATCTGACACGCAATCGCGAGTATAAAATAACCGCACTGAACATGAAAGTCCACGAATCCCGAACGAAGTAGATGAACGACGATCGAAGTTTCCGACTGTCCAGCGGCATGTATCACGCGTAGCTGATGATACCCGGCGCTGATCAGGAAAGTCCAAGTATGCGGGGAGCTGGAATGATTAAATCTGGTGGGAGAGAAAGAGAGAGAGAGAGGGGGGGGGAGAGAGAGAGAGAGAGAGAGAAAGAAAGAGAGGAAAGAGATCAAGACAATAACGAGGAACTTCTGCGTAATACGCGTGATGCGTTACGAAAGCAACGGCGAATCATGTTGAAAAGGAAAGAAAGAGAGGAACTAACAATAAGATGGAATTACTTGCTGTTTTAACAGGAGAAATATCCCGAGAAGGATTTTTATGGAATGATAAATGTTGCTGAAGAGTTATTCAAGTCGCGTTAAAATTATATTTTCGAAAAATTAAAGTGGATGTTTGTTTCCTATTTTTTGAGATCAGCCTCTTTCTCAGAGCCTTTAGCTTCTTGTAATGTCTTCTTCAGATTCAAAATATTTCTTTTAGATAACTCTGCTTCGATAATTAATGACTAGAACAATGTGCGCATTTCTCGTTATCGCGTTATTAAAGAAGATATGGAATTGAATTTATGAGTATTATGGTAAAATGATTTATCATTATTATGATTAATTCGAATGTTTGCTAATATCGATGTATATCTCAATCGTAAAAGAAAGATAGCGTATCGAAGAAGTTTTCATAGAAAAAAGTTTCGCTTCATGCTTCATAATCAATTCGTTTATAATAGAAGTATAATTTATTTACTTTATCTTCTCTCGTGTATCTTTTTAACTGGATAATTTACTTCAATATATTCAATAGGAACGTGTCGCTCACGTACACGTGTGAATGAGTCATACTCATTAATAAAGCCGCAATTGCAGTTTTTATTGCTCTTGTGTGTTCTTTTTCATTATATTAATATAGTAATTATTATTAATGTAAATTAGCCACAAATATTATTGTATATTGATAGACGTTGCTGTGTCCAACAAACGATTGATATAACATTGGTAGGCGGTAAAATGGTAACAGTTTCACAAATAAATCACAATTATAGCTGTGCAGTATGATAAGATTTTATCATTGTCGGTATTTGAATTTTTATCTGCGCACAGATGCGCTTTATTTGCAGAGATTCATCCGTTGTAATAATCTCCTGAATATAATATTTGCATAATAATATAAAATAATTATATATATTACGCATTGTGTCCTACAATTGTGTGTGTGTGTGTGTGTGTGTGTGGAGCGCGATATAGAGAGAATATTCATTTAGAACGTAGTTCATTCTCTAAGAATATTATAGAAGCGTTTTTAAATGTTAAACGTCGTATAAAAAAGGTAAGAATATTTATTATAAATTGTAATATTTAATCGTGACACAATAAACAAAACAAAACAAAATTTTTGGTCTACATAGTAATTATATACTATAATATATATAATTATATACTATAATATTATACTTCACTTTCTCTCTCTCTCTCTCTCTCTCTCTTTCTCTCTCTCTCTCTCTCTCTCTCTCTCTCTCTCTCTCTTTCTCCCCCTTTCTCTCTCTAATTGAAATAGATTCGTTTGGTCATTGTTCAATCTAAATTCTTAATTTTTTAAAATACATTTCAATTCAAGCATAAGTATATATTGTTTGAATCCATTTCAAGATTCGTGATAGCATCGAAGTGCAGTTCCGTACGATTGCAAGGATTAAGCACGCGAATTGGAGGATACAGCTTCAGAGATGAGTGACTGTTTGAGAACATCGTAAAAATTATTCCCTAATTTAGGGAGAAACTTTTTTTATTACAATTTTATTGTGTGTATCTTTTAGAATATAATGTGCTAATCAATAGGCCTGTTCTTTTTAATTAAATTTCTTGCACGATTCATCTTTTCTTTTTTTCTTTCTACAATATGATTCATAAGTCGAAAATGAAATTGATATCGATTGATTTTTTAATTTGACTACATTTTCTATTGAGACTACATTTTATTTTCTATATTGAGAGCGAGTGTGGCAGAATAAACAGTGCATTGGTCTGCTATGCTATGAGATCCTGGATTCAATTCCCGGTAAAACCAAAATATTTTCATACACTTGTTCTCCTCTCGGAAGAAAGCGGCAAACTACCGAGAGTATCCTTGCCAAGGACACTTCTCGAAGCAGAAACTTCATTGTTCGGAATCGACGTTAAACTGTAGGTCCCATATGAACTGTGTACAACCAGCGTACACATCACAGGCATATGAGAGAAATCACCATGCTCGGACACGAGCAACAGAACTAAAGAAGAAGACATTCTATTGATCTTTGAAGAAGATCGACATTTTATCAATATTGCATCGAAAAGACCGACGTTTTATCAACGATGCATCGACAAAATCGATCTTCTTTTCAGAAGATCAATAGAAATCTAGCAAGTATCCAATCGACCGGTCTAAAAATCAATCGACTTCAAATCGACCTGTGAACTTGGGCAATGAGAAGAAAAAAGGAAAAAAGATGAACCGTGCAAAAACTTTAGCTGAAAAGAACCTATAATAATACTTATTTTAATAACATAACTGAATTAATTTTATAATTGATTGACATACAATTTGAATTCATAAAAAGTGAATCTATTTGAATTCATTTAAATTCATCTAAATCTATAAAAAAGAATCATGTTCAATCACTGCATATGAATAGAAAAATGATTCAATTTTACCACATTTAATTTCTTTTTATGCATGGATCAAAAATTTGGATTAAAATAAATTAAAAATTTTCGATTTATTTCAATCCTTTTCGGATTTTAGGAATGTCGATAAAAAATATTAGATTGTTTACCAGCATAATTTGATTCACTATGTTTTATTATTAATTATTTATATCTGCAGTCAATCGAAATATCTTTTTAAATAGGAGATTTATTTTATTATATATATATTTCCTTAAGTGTGATATTGTGTTATTCAATACATACGCTTTGTTAAGCCTATTTCTAATATCTACATATTTAGAAGTAGTTCCTATAATTACGGCAAGATTTATTGTTTACACACATTACATAATTTATAGCGATCCCGCGTGAGACTCTTAACTTATGTAGAAACATTGTAATCGTTACGTAATTTTATAGAAAAAAATTGTCGATGGGAGTATAATAGATCTTTTAACGTCCTTTTAACATCCTTTTATTTCTCAGAAACTTAATATTGTACTTTGTTAATACTGATAAAATCATGATTTGTTTAGATGACAAAGGAGTAAAAATCTATAATGCATACATTTGTGGCTTGTTTTTATATAAAATAACTTAAAAACGAATTTTATACAATTCTTACAATTTTATTGGAAATGGGCCGTTTATATTAAAACTTGAAATACGAAAAATATTGGGAAATTTTGGGGGGATTATCAGATTGATTGTGCGAATCCGATAATTTCATCGGCTCGCAATTTAATTCTGAAAAATTAATTCAATTTAAAATGAATGCATATTATATAGTAGTTCGACATCTTAACACTTGGGACGGTAAGGCGCTTCGTATTTCAAGTCTTACAATTTTATTTTGCAAATTTTATAGGTTGAATAATATCAAATATATTATTGATAGTAATAGATCGTTTATGAATCTGTTATATTTTTTTTCATACTTTTTCTTTTTTATTTTTCTCATAGTACAATTTTAAACTTCAAATCGGAGTCTAGCGTAAATCGATTGTAGGACTATAAACTATTATAATCACCTCATATTGAGAAGCACATATATCTATTCACCCGTCCACATTTCACAACCATCCATTCACCCACCCATCTACCCACCCACCCACACACACACACACACACGCGCCCGCGCGCGCACGCACACAAATACATGATGTGTAAACTCCTACCGAGCAATCTCCTCGTGGTGCAAAAAAGTAGGGTCTATTTGGAACCTGATAACTCAGCTCCTAGGCAAGATAAAACAATTTTCTTTATGCCATTTTAAAGGAAATATTCTCGACTTTAAAATTAATGTGGTAACGTTTTTTGCCTCATCGTTGCTTTGCACATAGAAGGCTGCAATGTCATAACATTTTCAAGATTCTAACACTCTCTGCTTTTGGTTTTTTTACGAAAAAAACAGTTTAATAGGACGAAAAATTTCACTTAAGCTATTTTAAAGTAGATGCTTTATCCTTTGTAACGCGCTAAAGAACAATGTCCTGCGATTTCTGGAAGCCGAGATATTAATTTCTTAAAATCGACAAAATTTGTAGGTTTTAAAGTGCTAATTTTTTTGCGTAGTGTATATTGCATTTTAAATGCATCGAAGCATTGATAATATTGATTGATCTTTTGAGGGGTCAAGTTTTACTAAATCCCAACAATAGGACGATACAGCAAGGCTTTAAATTTTCAAACGAGCAATATGAATAATACGAGTAACAGGGTTTAAAAGTAACTAGTTACTTGTAACTAAATTACAGTTACAGTTACTTTTTTCCTGTACCTTTTACATATATTTTTTTTTAACTGTAACTTAACTTATACTTAGTTACAGTTCTTCCAATAACTGTGCAGGGTCACCGACGAGACACTATTAAAGACCGTCAACTCTTTCAAATTTTTGGCGGTATAAAAAGCCAAGACCCGAGGGTAATTGAAGAATGCTGACATTATCGACAATTGATATAAATTTGCTATTATTAACATAAATATTTGACTCAAACATTATTAAATTCATGATTTTTTGTTACATAAATGTTCCATAAATAAATATGCATACTTATAAAGCTATATAATATATTACAGAAAAATTACAATTTTTTTTCTCTGCAGTTATATATAGGGTGCGCCATCTGTTGCGATAGCATCTGAAAGTTGAATAAATTTTGATGTGGGCAAGTTTTTTTATATTTTTTTTTACACAAACTTTATTTATTCCTTTCTATTTTATTTCCATCATGTTTTGAATATAATATCCAACAAATGACCGCCTTTATGTTTGATGCAAAACAATGCCCTTTTTCGTGCATTTTGCATCACATTTTCCAGCGTCTCGGTGGTAATAAGCGATATTTCCCGGTGAATATTGGCTTTGAGTTGAGGTATGGTCTGC